AGTCCACTAATCCATTCCGTCATTCGAGATCTCAGTCGAGATCGAAACAGCGATTCACACAACTACGAACAAAGTTAAATTCTAATCTTTAAAAACCTACGTGGTATTATCCTTATTACTTACTTAAATCAATGACATGTATCATTTGTATAAAAGATTTGATATCAATAGTCGGCGCCAAGTTATTCCACCTTATTACTTACTTAATTTTAATGACATTTGTCATTTGTATACAAGATTTGATATCAACAGTCGGTGCCAAGTTAAATTCTACCAAATTAAAGAGTAAAACACAAGTGGTACCTTTAATCTTTAAGAACCCATATAGTACTATTATTTAAATTCCACTAAATTAAAAAGTAAAACCTAAAAGGAATTATCTTTATCTTCATACTATGAAACCTAAGTATATGCCTTTGTATTCTTATTAAAAGATCTTCCTATTCGAAACCAAGTGATTTAATTCTTCTTTAAAAAAATTATATCACAATTAAGTTTTAAAAACAAAATGAATAAATGAAAGGAATAAAACACCACTGCTCGTTATTGGTGACAAATATGAATTGGTGTATCTTGATGTTATTTCGCTATTTACAAATGTCCCTCTTGACATAGCGATCGACTGTATTAACGAGCAGTGGTGTTTTATTTCCGAGGCATGTTCACTATCTAAAAAAGAATTTTTGGACTCTATACACCTTGTTTTGAATTCTACATACTTCGTGTTTGATAAGAAGATTTATAAGCAATGTTTTGGTACACCCATGGGTTCACCATTATCACCTATTGTGGCGGATTTGGTTATGAGGAGGCTCGAGTCACTAGCGTTGTTGTCATTTAACAGAGAACTTCCTTTTTATTATGGATACGTGGATGATGTTTGTTTGGCTGTTGATGTGTCGGATATTAACTTATTTTTGTGCAAATTTAATGAATTTCATCCTCGTCTCCAATTTACTGTTGAAATTGGAGGTGATAGACTGGAGTTTCTAGACGTCTCTTTGATTAAGAGGGATAATAGACTAATTTTTGACTGGTTCCATAAGCCTACTTTTTCGGGTAGATTTTTGAATTTCCTATCTAACCACCCACTGTCTCAGAAGAGA